GGACTATTCTGTACTTATATTTGTGGTTTGCCTCTAAAAGGAAAGGTTTTCTTAGAATCAATATCCATAGATTTTATTTTGTAAAAAAAAGTTTACAAGTACTAATAAATGGAACACAAGAGGGGGTATTCCCCCCCCAAAAAAAAAATCCCCACAAAAACAAACAAATGGAAAAAAGCTCCACTGGGCAGAATTTTCATAATATGCAATTTTCCCACAGGCGAGCATGGAGCAACTTGCTCTGAGTTAGTGCACCCAGTGGCATAGCGTGGGAAGGTTCTCTTTCCTCATGGTATTGCTACTCCCATTACTGTTCCTGAGGAGTTTATCTGCCCTGGATTCTGTGTGTCCAGACTCTTATCTGTACCAGTGTACATGCTCCGGTCTAGCTGGATTTGTAAGGTAGAACTAGAGTCATGGTAGTAGGCTGGGAGCTGTGGGGAGCATTAAAGAACTAGAAGAATGTTGTGTGTTTTGTCGGTGCTATACTGCACCCTGGTTGACATCTCTTTCTTGTGACCCTTCTGTGAAAGATGTACAATTTAGTAGCTTAGCAAATGTTTGGGTATGTATGGTCTAATAATCTAGGATGACTTCTTTAATGCAATAATGTTTTCTATACGTGGGATAATCGTTTTTTTGTAAAAATTTAGAACATTTGAATATGCACAGCATTAATTCAACACCCTTGCTATTTTTGCCTCAATTAATCATTGTTACTAATATCAATAAAAAGGTAACAGGTGAAGTGAAAATGCATTGTTTTTGTTTATATAATTTATATTTTGAGATATGTTTTATCAATACTGTCTTGATATTTTTACAGGCATCTTAAGCATGTTTAGCTATAAATATGTATGTGTCTTTATATGTCTTAATATGTCACTATTATATCAAGAAATTAGACCCAAATAAAATAAAACTATTTTATTTATTTATAAAAAACATATTGAACTTAATGTTTTAAAGATTATTCATTTATTGTTATCAATCAGTGCAATAGCATTAAATGCAGACAATGGAACCAGATTTGGAGTTTATAGATGTATTTACATGGGAATTAATAGACTTCCAAAATTTGACTGCATCTGATGCACATGCAAATGGATGAGTTCACACTCTTCTTCTTGACGTCTTTAGATAGTTGTGAAGTCGGGTGGTCCTGAGAGCAGGTGTTGTCGATTTAGCATTTGTCTAATTAGACTTATCCACAACAGAAAGTGTTGTGTGGTCTAGAAACAATTGCATACTTAGAAAACCTTTCTAAAATACCTAGAAGAAAGCCTACTTCTGTCATTTTCCCTTTTTCAAGTTTAGCCTTTTATGTCACATTCAGACATCTCAGGAAGGTTTTATTTAGGATTGATGCATGTTTCTTTTATGTTTTTATTTGTTTGATGTTTGTTTTCCTGAAGACTAAAATTATATTGCTTTGGTAATTTCTTAAGTATTCTATCTGAACCCTATTGAGTCAATGAGTCTGATAATGTGAACAGCAGATGAGACAATTGAAATTCAAAAGAAATAAAAGATTTCTTAGGTTCCAGTGGAGTAAATTCATAATTCAATACTAAATTTCTGTATGTGTAGGGATGGATACTTAAACGTTTAAATTTTTCAAATGAAAATCTAAAATGGAATCTTTTAATCTGTGTTCTAAGAACTCATGTTAACACTGGTTTACAAGTTTCTTCAAGATATGTGAGGGAAAGTTTTATTGATTGATTTATCTTATTTAAACATGTTTTAGGTTTCATATCTTATCAATAGGCAATACGCCACACATTAGAAATCCAGTGAATCAAAACTTTTAATTTTTTTCATATCAGTTCTGTTTGATTGGATAAACTATTTTCTAATATGATCACCAATTATTATTTTAATAACATTTTTCAAAGCTAGGACTTTTCGCAGTATGAGAAAAAGAGATTTGGATAATTATTCAATTTTCAATTCCAATTCAAATATTTCAACAAAATCACTGTCTCATCTTGTGTGTGTTACTTAAACTTTCTTGGTTTGATCATCTGAAAATGCAGTCTGAACTAGGCTTGACGTCACCCAGTGTGGTCATTCATAGTGTGATCACACCCCATGGGCCCCTCCTGTACCAGATCAGGCAGAATCTTTAGTAAGATCTATTATGCATTATAAATATTGTTGTAAATTATTTACCTGTAATGTTGTTTAGATTACAATATGTATACTAACAACAGAATTATTTTATAAAACCTCATGACATTGAATTCAACATTAACAAGGGGGCTTCAAAAATTCATAGAGAGTAATTAAAATATAATAGAAAAATTTCCATGAAGTTTTTTAAGGTCTTTCATATTACTTATATTATTAGTACCTTAGCAGAAATTGTTCTTTTTGTTTTTATCCTCCTTGTTCTTTCATTACTATTTCATACTCATTTTATTGATATCGTTTCACAAAGACTAATTGCAATATTAGAGCTACATCAGAAAATTTGATAGAATCAGTAACTATAAAAAGAGTAGGAGGAACAAAATAATAGTTTATGCTTGTAGCATGTGCCGATTAAAGTTCATAATTTGGTAAGTCATTGTAATTGAGTAATAATGATGTCTCTGACTGGATCATGTTAGAAGGTTCAAAAAAATAAAGAAGCATAGAGTTTTAGCCTTCTGTGGGGTGTATTGATCCATGTAAGCTGGACTTACACAACAATAATATTTTTATTAAAAATAACTTCTGCTAAAACACTGTACAAAAAAATTGTAGATAGTCATATTGGTGTCTCCCCTTCTGACAATGTTTCCTGATGTGGTCCACACCTATCACACTGATCTTGGATCAAGTTTAGTTTCTTATAATCTCTACTCTGCCCTTAAATATATGATTGATGATATTACTCATGATTCTGTTACACAATTTCATGGACACTCTATACGAAGGCACTATGATTTGAAACACCCCTATGGCAGTGGTTTTAGAATGAGAAAGGCATGAGAGGAATAGAGGGTCTGGCAGAGAAGAAATGTTAGGTAGCTAGATTGAGGGGCAGGGGTTGTCCCTCCCAAGCCTGCAAAGGACCCCATAAAGGAGGTTGGAAGAAAATCAGGCAACCATTAGACACCTATGAAGACCCCAAACTGAGCATGGAACTACTCAAGCCCCTGAGCCAGGTGGGAAGTATACCTGGGCAGTCCAAATTAGGGCTAAGTTCATGACCTCTCCCATTTGGGCTTTCTTAGCCTATGAGGTCAATCAATACCATAAACCACGCCTCCCCAGCCAGAGATTTTGAATACCTTGGCTGTGGGAAGACCTCTTCCTCCTTTACTCTGCTCCTGTGGCAGGGTGGAGGGTGGGGGTGCATACTCACAGCCTGGGTATGCCCCCTAAGGGCTTGCTCTGGGCCTTCTTCTGGCTCAAAGCCTCTGGGTCCACGTGCTCTTAGCCTCTAGAGTTCTTGGGCTTCTGGCCTCCTGGGAACACTGCCTCCTACCACCCCCCACTTTAAAACCTGAAACTTGTCCTCTCCTTCATAAAAACCCACTTGGATTACAAAACAGGCTTCAGCATGAATTTTTTCACAGTGTGAAGCCAAGAACCAAGGTATGACCCACTCAAGAGACCTTACAGAAATGCTTATCAAATGCTAGTTATTATTCTATTAGACTCAAATCTTATATACTATATATACACGTATATGAACTGAGTTTTTCAGCACATTTTTAATGCAGTTTTGTGGTAAAATTAGGTCCCTCACTGATATTTGGGTTGGCTTATACTCGAGTATATATGGTAATCTGTGTTTTTGAATGTTCATTAAATATAAGTGTTACTCTTATTACTAAAGGAAACTGCTATTATTTCCTAATCAACAAACCATATTAAATTCTAGTATATGTACGGGAAGCTGAGGACATGGAAGAAGGTGTATAGGGTCTATTTTCTGCTCTTGTGACTACAACACCAGAGTAGTATTAGAGGAAAATTCTCCACAGTCAAGAGGCCATAGAAAAACCTGATATTACATGTCTCTGTATTGAAAGAGTTTTCTCCACAACTGTCCTCCATTAAGATGCTAATGTAAAGCTGTCTCATACAGGCCTCTGGCTCCTTGCTACTCAACTTAGAGAGGCCTCTCTTTAAGAGCAGGCAGGTTTGCCTTGTCTGGATCAAACTACCCCTTTGTCTCTTTGATGTCAGATACTTCTCCATGCTTATCCTGAACTGTCTGGGGTAACTCGGGATATCCCAGATTCACATTTTGTATGTAAATTATGTATTCATACTTATGCATGTCTCTTATGTATGTGTGGTCTCTCTTTCTCCTATTGAACATCAGCACGCCCCTCTCCCTCCTTTGTCTGTCTGCTTTATTTCATTTAATTGCACACGCTACTCCTAAGGACTGGTTTGATTGTGTGCCTGGCTCCCACATACATAATTGATAGGTTTAAAAAAAAAATCTTCATATAGCCATGAAATAAATTATCTGTACTTCTATGGTATTTACACAGAAACACATAAATATATCTTTGGAAAAAACTATTTGCATAGTGCAGTTCTGTGACCTGGAGCATTTCACAGGGCACGCTTTACTTAATCAGCCATGTAGAATCATAAAAAAGCATTTTCTCAGGTACAGTTGTTAGGTAGCTGTATAGGGACAGGGGAGTTGTCCTTCTCCATGCCTGGAGGACCCTTACAGGAGGTTTCTGCAGAGAACCAGGCGAGCCTCAGCCAGCCATAAAGAATACAGGGCATCCGCCAATTCAAGCCCAAGCCTGGGTGGCCCAAAATAGGCTCAGGTGGGCTTAATTCAGCCAATGGGTCAACAATACCTTTGCCCATGCCTCCCAGCCAAAGGCCCTAAAAACCAGGGCCGTGAGACTGCCGGCCCACCTCTGGTTTTTCTCCTCCTTCCACTCGGCTGTGCCATGGTCTCTCTGGCCTCAAGCTACCACAAGTGGGTGTGCGGTCCCACAAGGTGCCTGTGTTCAGTGACTGTGAAATCTGAAACTTCTTCCGTTCTTCATAAAACCTCTCTTGGATCACAAGCCAGGCTTCGGAGTGAATTTCTTCTCATGCGAGGCCAAGAATCAAGGTATTTCCCACCTGAAAAACCTAACATAGTGTTATAAGCTGTCATCAAATTTAGTACAATTCATATCAACCTTGTCTGCATAAATCAAAATTTTTCCAGGTGCTGCATCATCCTCACAATTCATGTATCAAGCCTGTAGCTGTGGATATTAAGCCCATAACACCACAAACTCTACTTCACCAAACATGGTGTCTCCTTCCATTGATTTTCTTCTTCCCTTGTCTTAGTCAAGTTGTCCAGCGGAACCATTTCCACCCTGGGTGGGCTTGCGGGTATGTGGAATGCTGTTTGCATAGTTCCCACAATCATAGCAGCAGGCCTGCCACACCACAATGTCCCAACCTGACAGCATGGTGTGGACTGGGTATGTGAGCTTTATCTAATCATTTGTTCACTCCTGCAAGAAAACAAAGACATCATAAAAGATAAGATAGTAAGTATATATCTAGTTTTGCATGTACATAAGTGCCTGGGTATGTGAGCTTTATCTAATTATTTGTTCACTCCTGCACGAAAACAAAGACATCATGAAAGATAAGATAGTAGGTATATATATAGTTTTGTATGTACATAAGTACCTGAAGTAATATTTAAGAACTTACTTCAGAAAATACCTAAACGCTGTGTGGTCCAGGCATTTAAGAGTATTTACATCAGAATGGCAGAGTGAATATTCCGAACTGCCCTTATGCTGTAAAACACACAGATGTTGGTTAAATTATGACTGTTAATTTTTAAATGCATTGCTTAGTCCAGAAAAAAATAATGAGCTTTCCCACACGCCTCTAGACTGAGGGTTAGTTTAGAAGAGGAATGGCATGGGGGCCCCTGGTAGGGGGTGGGTTCTCTCCTACTCATGGATTGCCAAAAGTGACTCGTTGGTAGTTTTTCCTGGAGGGCAAGGGCACTGCAGTCACATACAAATAATGAAATACAACACTCACCAAAACCAATTCACACTATCTTGTTTCAAATAATCACATTGTGTTGTACAGAACATATTTCAACTGCATATTTATTAGGTCAAATGTGAACCCAATGTTTCACTAATAAAACAAATATTCTTTTCTATTGACAAAATTTAATCAAAAATATTTTCTTATATTTATATTTGTCCTATCAAACGTTTCTAGTTCTATGGTTCATCATATTCTTTTGGCAATAAACCTTTTAATAAGAAATCCCACACTTCCACAGTGTTTTTGTGCTGGTAATATTTTAAAGAGGGATATGTGGCTGAAATACCTCATTACCCCTTCACCACAAATCTTGTAATCAATGTGAACAGGTGGGCCATGCTCATTGATTGAAAACTAGATAAATTGACTCGCTGTGCAAGTCCACAAACAAACAAACGGTTGCACTAAAGGAAGTTAAAGTTTTGAGAAGGAATTAAAAAGGTGTGAAGGAATGGAGGATACCAAGCACAGACACCGTACCCATTACATTCAAAGATTTATTTGCATTTTAAATGAGTGTGCTGAGAAACAGGTGTCATTAGTGTTGACACTAGCCACATGACTTAAATGGGCTAAAAGAAACACTTGGATCACCCACATGTCAGCATTCTATCCTATCATGCTTGTCAGCAGTTTAATTTTCAACATATCATTTGGTTAAATACCAGAGGGGAGAATTTGAATATTTGTTTTTTTCCGATGAACCATATAATTCAGAGTAAAGCAAATAAGCAATGCGTCAGAAAATAAGGGGCTGTTGCCAATAACAGTGGTTTGTTCACAGTCGTAAATGTTTTCCTTTCTATCAAGCTCACATTTACTGAACCATGTTTCCTAAGGCTAAC